AACGACGGTTAAAGAAGTCTGGCGAGGTGAAGACGATTCGCTGCTGGTTATAAGTCATTCGTTTGATTAGATATTGATCAAACGTCAAAAAGAGGAAATCGTTTATTGCAAAGCAACAAGATTAGATCTAAGAGGTATAAGAAAAGCTGGGATAAAAAAAAAGATCAAAACACCTAACTGCGGAAGACAACTCGAGAAAAAATTAACCTGAAGCTGAAGGTATGGGGAAGATACATTTTGGTTCGAATTTTTGTGTTGTTTTACTTTGGTTACAGTTAGCTTACCAACAGAATCTTTACAACTCCAGTGAAGTTAGCGTCTCTACAGTGCCTGACCCCCCATTCACACTGAACAGTTCGACTGCGCTTCCAGCATCAGCGCAAGTTCAGGCGGCAGATCCCCCCTTGAATTGCGATCAGAAGTTTTCTTGTCGCTCTAGATGCTCTAACGAATCAAGTAAATGGGAGGATTTCTCTAGAGATGCCGAACACTGCCATTGTGATCGGGCTTGTCTCAAGTATCAAGACTGCTGTGCAGACTTCGAGCACTACTGTGCTCCTCTCCCAGTGACCAAAGGGGACTCAAGAGGCCCGGGCTATTCCTGTGCGGACATATCAACTTATCAAGAAAAAGGTGTATTCATGATTTCCACATGTGCAGCAGACTGGAAAGACGAAGGCGATTCGTTTATTAAATGTATGGAGGCCTCCAAGAATTCGAATCGATCTTTTACATCTGAAAACATCAAAGAGGACATTCCAGTGTATGATTTCTTCAGCGAGAATAACTATCGAAATCTTTACTGTGTTACTTGTAACAAAAAACTACTGCCCCCTAATTTTTGGCAGTTAAAATTTCGGTGTAATATCCAAGCTCCATCCCATTATAGTACCAAACAGAAATTAGACTTTTATCTAAAATACTGCAGAGATAAATCCGTGGAACCAGGAAAACATTCCAGGGTACGTACCTGTTTGCCAATGGTCTCCACATGCTCAATCGACAATAAACACAAGGAAGGGTGCATGAAGGGAAACTCTGGACTTGTCCATTCCAAGAAAACAAAGAAGAACTTCAAAAACATTGACTGTCTGCTTTGCAATGGCGAATCGTTAGAGGACGTTACGTGTGGTCCACAGGAGAAAGGGGACATCTTCAATCCAAAATCATTTGAAATTGTCATGCACTTTATTACGGGAGAAACTCCTGAACCTGAATTAAAGTCCTTTTCCACATCTTGTTCTGAGAATAAAGTCTTTGATCCACACCTCGAAACTTGCGAGGACACATATGTTCGGAATCCTTCGCTCGCTGTCCGCGATACGTACCGCATTAAACAATGGATGTATCCCACGGATAACATCGAAAGACCCATGTTACAGCAAGAGTTCATCGATGGCTTTTGTTCACGGTTTGCCTTAAAACCTTCGCAAATTTATGTGATATCAAATTCATCAGAAAAAGGAATTATTGTAATGGAATTCAATCTGTATGCAGGCCAAGCGGCGAGGGGTATTGACGATAATGAAACTTTGGATTTGGCTGCTCTTCTTAATTTCAATGAATCATTTCCAATAATAATTGCAAACAAGACCTGGTTAGTAATCAGGGTCACTCAAAGGCAGTTATCTTGCGCAAACCCAGAAGAGTATTTCCATGACGAATACAGAATAAAGCCCACTGGGGAAGCCTTACTAAATAGAACTGGGGACAATCTTCAAGAATCGCTTCCGCCAAAAAAGTTCTTCATCAAACGCAACGATAACGGCAGCGATTCCTTGATTGTGTGCAGGTCTACATTTAGTGTCTTATGCCCTTTCAAACTCCTCCTGGTAAGTAGTTCTGAGTTTAAAGTCTTGGCCAACAAAAGCTTACTGCATACCACCACTGGTAGAGTATACTTGACTGAAGAGTACACCTTGATGGATGAAGTTAAAAAAGCATGGATATGCGCTAATCATACTAAAATCCGTCGCACTGAGACTTCAGCGGGCACAACAAGCAGAGAAAATACGTTTCTGCGATACTTTACAATCGCTGGATTTTCTATCTCAGTTTTTGCTCTTTTCCTCACCTTAACGATGCATAGCGTTTTTATTGAGCTCCGGGGCCCCCTTCCTGGTAAAAATCTGATGAGTTTGTGCTTTGCCCTTCTACTGGCCCAGTTTATGTGGCTGTTTGGATCTGGAGACACCGACAAGCCAACATTTTGTACCATTATGGCGGTCGTTATACATTACCTTATTTTGGCGTCCTTTGGGTGCACAGCCGTTATCGCCTTTGACACTCGCCGAACTTTCTCTAGCAAGATTTCCAAAGCTCAATCAAGATCTATCGGAAAAAGCCGGAATCTTCGTTTGCTGGCGTACACGTGCTTGGCATGGGGTATTCCTTTGCTTTTTGTGGCTGGCTGTGTCCTGCTTGACCACTTTCAAGTGGTCTTCATTGGCTATGGTAATGAAGTCGCCTGCTGGATAGTCAGCAGCAATGGAAAGATTGTCACTCTTGCCACACCAATAGCTTGCGTCCTTCTTTACAACTTTGGGGCCTTTACACACACTGTGTGGGCCATCAAAAGTGCCAAGAAGCAAACACACCGAGTGAAATCATCTCGCCAGGATCAAGGGGCAGTTTTTAAAATATATATTCGCCTGGCCTCCCTTATGGGTTTCACATGGTTTTTCAGCTTCAGTGCCGAGTTCATCCACGAGGCACTCCTCTACCCTTTTGTTATGCTCACGACCACTCAAGGAGTATACATATTTGTTGCGTTCATCTGCAAGGCCCGAGTACTCAAGCTTCTGAAAGAAAGGTTTCCAAGATCGAGGAAGGATGCAATGGCTTCCACTCAGCATACGGCAAGCACAGAATGTAAGAGTTTGCCTGCATATTCTCCAAAACAATCAGCGAGAGACACTCGCTTTTAGAATAACACAGAAAACTGAGACCTGAGACTGAGTAACTTCTGGCGTACCCCAAGGTTCCTTATTGGGCCCAAGACTTTTCAGCATCTCTACAAATGACCCACCTTTGTCTGTTGACTCAAAGATAGAAATGTTTGCCGATGACTCCACTGCCTACATCATTGGAAACTCTAT